TATACCACTCCTAGTTTATTTTAAATCCTCAAATTGATTTTGTATTTATTTGTTCTTAGCAGGAACACAAGTGGTTGTTGTCAACTCCTGATTAACTTCTGCACTTCTTCAAACTTACTATCATTAGGGGGAGACAAGTGTAGTTGTCCATTAGGGAGAGTCGACAATATGCTATAAATAGACATATACGTGCATTGTGCTCTTTTCCCTTCGACTAGGTTTTTATCACACTGGGATTTTCCTGTCAAGGTTTTAACGAGGCAACATTATGTGCATCCAACACCATATCAATATTTCATCATTAGGGTGCCCAATTTTTCTCCTTTGCTTAGGTTTTTTCCCATTGGGTTTTCCAAGCAAGGTTTTATCGAGGCAACTACTATTGATTTGTGAACATCAAGGGGCAGTGTTATAAGTAATACTACTACGTGGCTTTTCACATTCTAGGTCAATATGTAATATCTTAATAGTTGAATACCTTTCTATGTAAATTCTACGCCTATAAATAGGCACTCTAATAAGAAGGAAAGAGATCTTGATTCTTCTCCACTTTCTCTCTTGTGTCTCTCTGTTCTCTATTTTCTCTATACTTTAATTCCAACATTCTCTACATTGTATTCCCGCAAACCAATTTACGACAGCGAGTAATAAATTAATTGTGAATTCGTTATTTTTAGGATTTGAACAGATTTCTGAATTACAAAGGGGAAAGAATTAGACTGTAGTATGATTTTTAATTCATTATTTTTAGAAATGGAAATGAGTTTACGAACTATCAAAACCTGAGAAAGTGTTTACAAATCTGTAGACTTGGACTCAATCAAGTAGACTAGAACTATGTGCTCTCATCCCTTTAGATCAAATTAATAATTTTTATTTTACAAACTCGACTTGAATTCACATTTTTGTTATACTAGAGAACGAAAATGCTAGCAAATAAAAAGTTTAATTTCTTTTTAGTTTTATGAAGGCCCTCTTCATTACTTGTTCACGAATAAAAAACTATAATTTTTCATTTGATTTTTTTTTTTTTTAAAGGAGACCTGGGGACTTTGCAACCACCCTTCCTTCCGCCCCAAAAACCATTTTTTCTGCTTCCTCTCACCCCGATTTGGTCACTGTTCATGAACACGTTAATTCTTGTGTTTTTGGGAATTTCAAGCTTGTAGGAAGCTTGGTGAGGTCCTTAGGAGGCTCGGGGTGGTTCATTTGAAGGTTTTGGACGTCGAGATCGTGAGTTACAAGCTTGGCCGGAGTTGGTGGTGTTTTCCCGGCGAGATTCCGTGGATTTTAGTGCTTGAAAGTGGTATGGATTTGTTCCTCTTGTTGTAAGCTTCATTTTGGTACCAATTTTGTGAAATTTGGTTGAAAAACGAAGAAGATACAAGATTTTAAAGTTTTTTCCGATTTTCCGGCGCCGGCGACTGCGTCGGAGCTTTGCCGGAGAAGATGACGGAATATTCCGTCAGTTTGGACGGAATATTCCGTCAGTTTGGAAGGAATATTCCTAACAGCGTTAACGGAATCCGTCAAAGTTAACGGAATATTCCTGACGGCGTTAACTGACGCCGTCAGTGTGCCAGGCACGTGCCTTGGCCGGCGCGTGTGGCGTCGAAAAATTATTTTAAAAATATAGAGATGTTCCTGAGGTTGATTAGATCACGTTGGTGTATTCATACGCCCCATTTGAGCATTGTATGAGAAGTTATTTCGTGATATTGGTTATGTGCTTTGAAATTAACGTTTTTATAGTTGTTTCGCATATAGGTGAGACCTATCCCGAGGACGAGTGCGGTCACTAAAGGCAAGGGGGTTACGACCTTCTACATACCAGTGAGTGGGCTTTTGGTTTTCCGTATATACCTACATACTTATACTTTTCCCAGAAAGTGAAACGAAACGTTTATACGTTTATACACCATGCTTATTGTTTGCCATTTATTTACGCATTATTATTAGTCGCATATGTTTATATGTTTGGTGCTGCGGACGCACAGGTAAGTGGCAGGTGAGTTATGATTTATGTTTATATTCAGTAGTGATTTGAGATGCATAGAGAGCTCATAACCTGCACCCCGGTGTTAGTGCTCCCGCCCAGAGCTGGGCACAGTCCTTCACGTGATGTTCACCTCCCGCACCACACGCTCATCTTGGATACAAATTAGGTGCACAGTCCTGTCGTACAAACCACTTTAGGTGGTTTCGACTCGTAGGTGACCCGCGATTATTCGCCCAGCCTTCACGTGATCGTAGCACTTGAGCGTACTTATATTACACCCAGTCATGTCGTACAAACTACTTTAGGTGGTTCCGACTCGTGTTCAAGTATAGTTACTGAGATGGAGATTTGAGCTCTAGATTTAGCCGTACAGGTCACGTTAGGTGACTCTGGCTGACAGATTACATGGCATTGATTTGACATTACCTGAGCACTTGCATTTTATTTCGAGGCTTTTGGCATGGCATATTTCTGAGCATGACTTATATATATGTATATTATGTTTTATGGGAAGTATACAGGTTTTACGGTGAAGGGTTAGAATCTTGTTTATGAAATGGTTTTTGAAAAGCCTTGTTTTTACCCACTCACACTTTTTGTTTTGCGCCCCTCTTTAAAGGAGACCGGCTGGTGACTTCACATGCAATCCACCCTTCCGGAGACCGGAAAAACTCATAAAGGCATAGTTTCTCCCTGACCACCATCGTGCAATTCACCAGCGTCAGGAATCGAAGGCAATTTATTTGTAATATTGAGACTCGTACTTGTCTTAAAAGCTCTCTCTCTTAGACTATCTCTAACTCTTGGGTTAAAACGTAAAATTTTAGCTCAGAAAATTTAGGTTTTAACTCAGAAACTGTTTTTCTACTTTAACCCTTCTGGCCTAAAATTTTAGTCTCATATTATTAAACAATGAATTTAGGCTATTGTTTAAAAAACAAAAAAAAAATTATGTGGACTATCCTAAATTAATTTTATGAACATTTTAACCTAAAAATATTTAAATTCTGAAAAATATTGAAAAATCACTAAATCGACACATGAAACTCATTAAACACCATAGAAGAATACGAAACACATGATAGAAATGTATAAACACAAAACACATGGAACACACAAAACACATATGAAACACATACAAAACGCATGATAAAGATATATAACACACCAAACACATGAAACACACGAAACACGTACCAAATACATATAAAACACATGAAACACAAACCTACACACATGAAACACAAACCTTCAATCATCCTCTATACAAGCATAGGTTGAATATCTAACCATCACACAACATATTCACCAATCATCCAAATTTCGTAGTTTTTTTTTTCCCTTCAAAATCATCAATATCTTATCAACGGGTGATAGAAAAAGGCATAGTTTCGCAATGCAGATGACACAATACCAAGCAAGCCCGCAAAACCTTTTTATTTTAATACATGCCAATGGCACCATCTTCGCTAATAGAAACTCATGTCAAGCATAAAAGCAACATCTTCCTCAAATGACCAATTACGACCTCTAATATGATCTTTTGCCATGTTGAAAATTTTGAATATTGGAAGAAATGGTCTTGGAAGATGGTGAAAAGAAAAATTGAAAGAATTATAGAAGAAAAGTGAGTTTTATGTGGATGCTTGAACAAATACATAGGTATTTATAGAGTTTTTGGGTGAATTTTGAGTTAAATAATTTTTTTAGAATTATTTTAGTCATTAGATTTAAATTTAGACCGTTAAATCTTTTTTTTTTTACCGTTATTTAATTATATTTGATCTCATCCATTGAATTCAATAAATATAAATTATATTCGATCTTTTTTTGGGCAAGAAATCGTGTGCGGGCCGTGCGTGCGTCTTAGCTTGATGAGTCCAGTTCACTTCTCTTGTTCCAGACTCACATTGGGCTCCACTAATTTTGGGCTAAATCTTGTCCAGAATTTGGGTTTTTTTGAGTTCTAACACTTAGCCCCATTTTAGCACAAGAGTTGGAATGAATTGATGGGAGGTGGATGGTGGGGGGAATAGATGGGAATTTTGAGACTTACTCCAAGGGGTTAAAGTTGGTCCCAATAGACCCATTGCATATGGCTTCAGGCATCATAAATGGTATGGCGATGGTATTGAACTCATCACAACTTTTTTGACATAGACATTGTCTGAACAATTAAATCGATATGAACATTGTCTGAACAGTTAGATCCGCATAAAACGCTTAAGGCAGTTCGTAGTTTATATGCAGGTGATTTCTGAAAGCGATTGAACCAAAAGGTAGATCTTTGATTCCCATGTACAATCTTCTTCTTTCCAAATAAAAAAATGCTGGAAATTCAGTAACCCTTCATTGTTAGTAGCAGATGTAAGTCATAGTAACACTTTCAGGCTTTGAGGGAGAGGGTTTACATGGAACTGGTTCATCGCCAAATAAAGCGCATGTCAATGCATTAAATGCCACGATATTAGTGAACCAATTTTATATAAAGAAAACTAATGAAAAGAATTTGAAAACTTTGAGTTTTAATGATAAGGACAAAATAAAGGGTAAAATGAATAGTACCATAATTGACTATTGACTTTTTAGTGTAAAAATATAATTTTCGTTAAAGTGAACAATACCGTGAACTTTTCGTTAAAACTCTATTTGTATGAGTTGCTTTCGCTTGGAGGATTCATACAAGTCCAATAACCAAAAGTCTCTACATAAGCTTTGACTAGGGCACCTTGACGTTTCCAACCCAAAAGGTGGTGGCTGATTGCGGTTATAAAGTCAGTCAATACTCATCTTATGGGATGATTGGACATAAATTTGTATATTTTTATATCATCATTGGCACCAAACACCTTTTAACTACAAGAAACCATGTCGTTAAAAAATTATACGGTTGAATAAATTAACGGTGAATTAAAGGACATAAACAAGTAGGGGGAGGTAAGGAGGGCAAACAGGGAGCGAAAAATAATTCCCAAACCAACAAGCATTAACAGTCAAGAACAGTAACAATCCTCTAATAGGAGAGATTCCACCGTATAATCAATGACTTACCACCCTCTATCTATCTCCCACATCATGTGATATGACGGATTGAAAGTGAGTGATAAAACACCGGTTACACCCAAGATTTTATGGCTGCTTTCCTAATCTTACAATGACTACTACGAGCATGGAGAGCAAAGCGAGAAAGGTAAACTTGTGCGTAAAACAAAACAAGATCTCTATTTAGACTTCTAAAACTAAATTCCACGTTGGGTCTAAATAATTGGTAAGAAAAATTTATGATGCGATACTGATATGTTATATGAGCCTTTGCTTGGACAATAACATTTGGAATCAGATGGATTCAACTACCGATATCACTAGGAATCGAACCAAAAAAACCAAAAACCTTGTATTAATGGAAGGGACAAGGAATTAGTCATAGAGGCCTTCTTCTTGCCAGATATCAACTAAAAAATCCACCATTTCCTGCATAACGTACCAATTCAAATTGTTCCCATCGATACCAATCCAAATTAGGAAAGAAAAGTAAATCAATCGGAGAAACTTACAGCTAAAGGTATTGGCTCCTGAAAAGGTTCAGTAGATGAAAGAAGATCCTCATACGTTGTTGTCCAGCTGAAAAAAGAAGATTCCACATTACAACTTAAGAGTTGCACACTCACTACACAAGTATATATGACAGAACACATATAGCGAATAAATGATAGCGCCCATGAACTGCAACTCTAGGAGCATATGATTTCTTCACTTACATTGCGAATTATACTTCAATCAAATCTTAGAATGCAAGTGAAACGTCTTCTGCATTTCCTAAATCATTTTTTCTTCTCACCGAGATCAAATCATTTTAAACACATATGCCAAATTAGTTTCCTCAAGGTCTGTCACTACGTGAAAATATGTCAAAGCTCCATAATGATCATCTGAATTTATCTGGATGTCCCCAAAGGAGCAAAAGCTCTACAAACATAACATATAATGCAATTTCAACCTCAGATTTCAATTTCAATTGGAGAACAGTTCAAGGAATGAAGGCAAAAAAAAAGGTTAATGGCAATACAAAATACTGTAGAAGATCTGGTTCAAATGGCAGTTCAAACTCTAAAATCATTAGTGATATGGAAATCCTCTACCGCTAATCTCTCACTTAAAGATTCCTATGTCAACACACAGAAACACAATTGTTGAGGAATGCATCAGATTTACCCATATATTGGCTATCAGCATATAGCTCACCAACCTACAACTCCAAATAAACCCGAGTATGTTTTGGTTGTGCTGGTGAATAAAAAATATTCAATATAAAATATGAGAAGTGACCGGGAGAACTGATGTGGTCTGTTGGTATAGAAATGCTAATCTGACAGTAAATTCAGAAAAATGTACCTCATAATTGGTTCTCTTGGTGCTCTTTGCGATTTCTGAGACTGATCACCGATCCATTCTCTTCTTTTCTCATGCCAAGCTATCTCAGCTGCATCATAAGGTCATCCATAATATAAGATACTACTTTACTTGATTCAATCATCAACAGGAGAAAATAAGTAAAACTTATAAAAGAGGAAAACAGTTGCCCATGAGTAGGTTAGATAACTTTCAAGCAGCGGTCACCGTCTTAATCTTGAGATATTAGTGATTTTCCTGAAGAAAATTCTTCCGACTGATTTATTCAAATGACTTGTTTTAAATGTCAGGGGAAAGTTCTTACGTATTATGCTTCTGACATGTTATATATCACCCACCCCATTACGATCACTAAATTAAACAACCACTATTATTCACACCATCAATTCAGAGAAAGACTTGACAATAAAAGAGTTCTGTTATAAGGGTTGAACACACTTTTATCAACGTGCACCAAAACACTCATTGTTGTCTAAAGAGAAAAATTCAGGTTTTGTAACAAGTAAAACTAGCTCCTAATTTTTCTGGCTGAGGCTAATTCTCGTGAAAGATACGTACCATTATTAACAAAGACTTCTTTCTCATTAAGCTTCCCTCTACTAGCAATATTTGAAGCATCTGAAGGTTGATTTTCTTGAGAATTAGAATTGCTACCATTAGTTTCCATTCTCCCTATACTGGAAAACCATCGCCTTTTAAACCACTACTCCAAAAAAGAAAGTATAGATGAAAAACTAGTCTCCATGCGAGATACATCATCAGCTTGACAAGAGATACAATCTTAAGCATCAGTGAATGAAGAAAAATAAAAGCGGAAAAGAAAAATGAAAAGAAACAACTCATGCAATCGTAACTTCTAGTGCATTTTCATTTCCAGTATATGCTACCATCACAGCATACAGAATCTCATTCAAATTATAGATACATAAACATCACATGCAACAGAACTCATGAATCTTATATCAACCATATGGGTTCTCCCGCAGTGCCCTTCCTCTCTTTCTGTGCGACTCTGTTCAGAAACACCAAGGGTGTGTCTTGGGCCCTCCCATGTCCATATGACCCTTCAACTCCAACTGAAGTTTCTTTGCCTCTGTTTTCTTATAGTGGAGCAATCAGCCCTAAGAAGTACAACATTATTGTTTACACTTTACATACAAAACTCAACAAGGATGCTTCATCCCGAGATGAACACAGAAGTTTAACCCTTTTTCCAAATTCAGTCCCTTGCCGGTCATGGCAGAGATTGATGGACCAAGAAAGTAGCTAACTTAATATTCTCTCTTATCTATCTTTGACTCCGCCAACGTTTACATGATCCATCCATATCGACTCACCTAAACTTCTACCTGCATGTTTCACAATTATTAACTCATTCCAAGAACTCCCCATTCCTTTATACCCACAAGACTCCATTCTGATACCAATGCAATATAATTTAGCCCACAGTAACCCCATGTCCACCAAATAGAGAAAATTGTAGCAACAGTCCCTTCACTTTAACCCACTTGGAGTAATGGTCTCTCAACTAAAAATCATGATTATTGGTCACTTAACTCATCAAAACGTGCAACTATGGTCCTTTTTGTCAACTCCTTTAGAACTTCCGTCAAAATGAATCACATGTCATGCACGTGAGGCTGAATCAAAGGGTAAATATGGAAAACTAAATAAGAAAAATTGTAGTAAAGGTCCTCAACTTTAACCCAATTAGAGGAATGATCCCTTAACTTTAACCCAACTATAGCAATAATTCTCCCACCGTGACTCATTTTGACAAATTTCTAACAGAGTTGACGAAAAAAATCAGCTGCATATTTTCATGAGTTAAGGGACCAATGCACATGTTTTTAGTTGAGAGACCATTACTCCAATTGAGTTAAAGTTGATGAACTATTGTTACAATTTACTTCCACCAAATATTCTATAATAAATTGCATCACTCCAAGAAATCCAATAACCTCACCACAACATACATCTCTCAGTCATTCAAATTCAGTGTTGCATTCAGCAGTTTGCTTATATATTCACAGTTACAATCCATCCTTCCTAACAAAATATAAACCAGAAATTCTACAAAACCAACTTCAAGCAATAAATCCCACGATTAAAATGCACATTTACAAATTCCAAGATAAGTACTTTGAATCAACCAAAGTTTCAAATAACACAAGATGAAAAACCCAAAAATTAAAAACAGAAAAAGATTAGGAGAGAGGTGGAGGAGGCCATACGTACCTGGGTTTCTTGGACTGTGAAGTGTGTGTAGGTGAGTAGCGAGAAGGGATTCAGGGAAGGGTTTTCGCTGAGGTGCGAGTAACAGTGATGGTAACGGAAGGCCTTTGAAGATTCAAGAGTTGGGTTTTGGCGAGACAAAACTCAATAAGGATGTGACTTTCTCCGATGATTTCAAGGTGCGGAGAATTGTAATTTTCCTCTGATAACGAACTTGGTGACATGGACTGAACTTGGACTGGGACTTGGGACCAGGGGCATCCATTTGGAGACCCAATCCGCACATGATCTTAGACATGTAGATGAAAGCGAAAGGGATTAGAGTCTTGCAGGTCCCAATTTAATTTAATGACATGTTTATTAATGTGTAATTTGAATAGATGGAAGGACCAGTTGTCCTTCCTAGTCGGACCTTCTTGGTTTTTTATTTTTTTATTATGAAATGTTGTACCATTATTGAAACTGTCTAATTTCCAATTGACTTTTAAAAATCAATTGTGTGGTAAAGAATTCGTCGCCTACCCTCTTAATAAATTTGTACCTACAATATAATAGAATAAACTATCGATTTTTCTCCTAAACTTTTCTATTGGAAAACTAAGGACTCAAATTAGTATTTTTTTAAGCCGATTTATCCCATACCGTTAGATTTTTCATATATTCCATCTAAATTTTTGTTAAGTAGAAGCATGTATACAACATGTGACAATTCTTTGAGGCCCAATTGCGTATTTGCACTGTACCTGTTTAGAAATCTAGAGTTTTCAGGCTATTTGCAAAGGGGGTGTTCGCTGAAACTTGGGGGAAATTGACATTGCCTTTGTCGATTTCATGGTTAGTTCATGGTGGGTTCGACAAAATCAGTAAGATTACAAAAAGTTTTGAGAGTTGAAGATGCCTCTGGAGGTGCAAGACGGGGGGAATCGTCCAAAGTAGTGCAAGTATATTATATCCCTTTTGTAATTGTTTGTTTAATAGGTAGATGTTGGCTTTACATGGTTTTTCTCTCTTGTATAGCTTTGTATGAGATTTCTTTTTGGTTTTTATTGTATTTTGTGAATGGTATATTCATCATAAAACAATCAGGTACAAGAGATAGCAATATATATGTGCTAGAGGAAAGAAAACAAGACTACCTATCCCTCATTGATTTACGTCTAAAGCTAACAAAAAAAGAACAAATAAGACACATCCCTTGAATTAAGGGAATTGACAAGACAAATAAGACAAAATGAGGAAATTGACAACAAGAGACACATCCCTTGAATTAAGGGAATTGACAACACTATCTATCACCCTAAAATCCTTTGTACGGTGAACATGCAACCTAACCTAACCCTAGTTGCCATTCTTGAGGAAATTGACAACAGGAGACACATCCCTTGAATTAAGGGAATTGACAACACTATCTATCACCTTAAAATCCTTTGTACGGTGAACATGTGTAGAAATTTTCAGGTCGATGGGTTGAGGGCCCACTCCAACAACACCGATACTGTCCCCACTTAACCACCTGCACAATCCTCAGGTGTGGGGTTTTATCACAAAAGGCCTCGATGTTAGTTAGAGAGGGGTATTTCTATTTAAAGCACTCTTCTCTTCTCCCTCTGTCCGATGTGGGACTGGGGGTTCCAACACTCCCCCGCACGTGAGACCCCACTTATGGGTCACACATGAATTTCCACACATCGGCAACCACGTGGAGCCATGTCGGGACTCACCCAATCACGTGGGGCCAATGGGGACCCACCCAATCACGTGGCAGTACAGGCCCGCCTCCTGGCTCTGATACCATGTAGAAATTTTCAGGTCGACGGGTTGAGGGCCCACTCCAACAACACCGATACTGTCCCTACTTAACCACCTGCACAATCCTCAGGTGTGGGGTTTTATCACAAAAGGCCTCGATGTTAGTTAGAGAGGGATATTTCTATTTAAAGCACTCTTCTCTTCTCCCTCTGTCCGATGTGGGACTGGGGGTTCCAACAACATGCAACCTAACCTAACCCTAGTTGCCATTCTTTCTTCCAATACTCCCCCTCAAGCTGGATCAAAGGGATTAATTGATCCAAGCTTGAACAAAAGACGTTGAAAATCAGCAGAGGGTAATCCTTTTGTGAAAATATCCGCAAGTTGATCATGACTGCGCGTGTAGTGAGTGTCGATCACCTTGGACTGAACTTGATTTCTGACGTAGTGACAATCAACTTCAATATGTTTAGTTCGCTCATGGAATATAGGATTCGATGCAACGTGCATCGCGGCCGGATTATCACAGTGTAGGGACATGGGTTGTTGATGAGGAAAACCTAAAGTCAACAGAAGGCTTTTGAGCCAAATAAGTTCACAAGCAGTGGACGCCATAGCACGATACTCTGCCTCTGCACTAGAGCGTGCAACAACACTTTGTTTCTTGCTTTTCCAGGTAACTAGGTTGCCTCCCACAAACGTACAAAACCCAGTGGTAGACTTGCGATCGAGAGAATTGCCTGCCCAGTCAGCATCAGTATAGCCTAAGATCTGAGTGTGACTATTGTTGCGCATAAGAATTCCTCTACCAATGGAACCCTTGAGATAACGTAGCACACGATGAACAATCTTCAAATGATCCATGCTTGGAGAGTGCATAAACTGGCTAACAATGCTGACAGCATATGATATATCAGGACGTGTGATAGTCAGATAAATGAGTTTGCCAACCATTCTTTGATAGTAACTTAAATTAGGAACTGGATCACCGTGAGTTTTTAGCTTCAAGTTGCTATCCAAGGGGGTATGAGCAGGCTTGCAATCTGTCATTTTTGCTTCATGAAGAAGATCCATGACATACTTACGTTGGTTGAGGAAGAAACCCTTGTAAGAGTGTGCCATCTCGATGCCCAGAAAGTATTTGAGAGTGCCAAGATCCTTGATAGCAAACTTGTTGTTGAGATACTGTTTAAGAGCATTAATCTCTGACATATTATCACCTGTCACAATTAGATCATCAACATAAATGAGCACAACTAGTTTACCCACTAAGCTGGAACGAACAAATAGGGAAGAATCCGCAATACTTCGACAAAAACCAACCCTTTCCAGAACATGACTGAGCTTGGCATACCATGCACGTGGACTTTGCTTGAGACTATAAATGGATTTATGGAGTTTGCACACCATTTCTGGATTGTTTGATTGAGGATGACCTGGGGGTAGCTTCATGTAAACCTCTTCTTCAAGTTCACCATGCAGGAAAGCATTTTTAACATCCATTTGAAAGAGAGGCCATGCATTGTTAATTGCAACCGACAACAATACTCTAACAGTGTTCATTTTTGCCACCGGAGCAAATGTCTCTTTATAATCGACGCCATAGGTTTGTGTAAAACCTCGAGCAACCAAGCGAGCCTTATTCCTTTCGATTATGCCATCTGAATGAAACTTAGTTTTGTACACCCAACGACTCCCCACTGCCTTCTTTCCTTTTGGAAGTTTCACTATAGTCCATGTGTTATTTTCATGGAGGGCTTGAAGCTCCTATGCCATAGCATTTCTCCACTCACTGTGAAGATTGGCTTCTTGAAAACTTTGAGGTTCTCGAGCTTCATTAATGGCACTTAGGAATGTAGCAAAAGTAGATGAGACTTTGCTATAATCAATAACATCAGTCACGGGATACCTGGCAGTGTAGGTCACATAATCATGCAACTTGGATGGAAGTTTCCTCTCTCGTGCAGGATTGCGACGAACTGTAGGAGATTGAACTACAGGTATTTGAACAACATCATGGTTAGAAGGATCACTGGAGGGTGCAGTGTGAATCTCCGATGAGGAAGGGTTTTCATCTTCAAGATGTTCCACCGAGTAAAGGTTAACATCATCCGGCACATGATCACTAGGAGTGCATGTTGCATCTTCTCCGTTTGGATATAGAAAAGGAAATAAGTCCATCAAATGCTCCCCCTGTCTAGAGTAATCCAGTGATTGTGAGAAGTAAGGAACATGTTCTTCAAATTTAACATCCCTTGAAACAACCATTTTTCTAGTTGTTGAATTATAGCACTTGTAACCTTTTTGGGTAGATGAATAACCTAGAAAGACACATTTGGCAGCCATTGGGTCTAGCTTGTCACGATTTTGAGTTTGAATGTGAACAAAGCATGTACACCCAAAGACTCTCAAATGGGAAAAGTTGATCTTTCTATTTTTCAAGACCTCATAAGGTGATTTAAAATTCAACACTTTACTAGGCAATCTATTGATGAGATATGCCGCAGTAAGAACTCCTTGAGACCAAAACTTCTTAGGCACATTCATGTGAAACATAAGAGCTCTAGTCTTCTCAAGTAGATCTCTATTCTTCCTCTCGGCCACCCCATTTTGTTGAGGTGTTCCAACACAGCTTGTTTGGTGTAATATACCATGCGTGCTCAAGTAGTGTGACATGTTATGAGACATATATTCTGTGCCGTTATCTGATCGTAAAATATGAATTTTTGAAGCAAATTGGGTGGCCACAAGTCTATGAAAATCTTGAAAAACTTCCATCACTTCACTTTTAAATTTCAAAAGATACAACCAAGTAATCCTTGTGAAATCATCCACAAAAGTTACAAAATATTTGTATCCATCAAAAGACTCTATAGTTGGTCCCCAAACATCGAAATGCACGATTTCAAAAGGGTTACTAGCCCTAGACAAAGAGGAAGTAAATGGTAATCTAGTAAACTTAGAAAAATGACAAACATCACAAGGACTTGTAACTTTGCACATATTTGGGAACAAGGTGGATAGAACTTTTTCAGAAGGATGTGCTAGACGTTGGTGCCAAAGTTGTTGTTCTTGAGCTAAGCTTGAAGTGACTTGAAAACCCTTGGGAACTTGAATATGCTTGGAAAGATAGTAGAGACCATTTAAGAAAAATCCTTCACCAATCGTCTTCTTGGTGACTACATCCTGAAAGATCACATTTTTGGGAGAGAAAATGGCAAGACAATTTAATGAGTTTGTGATCTTGCTAACAGATAAAAGTTGAAAAGGGAATGAGGGAACATAAAGAGCCTCAGACTCGACATCACTTGAGATCAAATGTATTTTTCCTTTTCCCACAACCATAGCATTTTTTCCATTGGCAACTGACACTTGAGATGGAATAGAAAATTTTTCAAATTTATGCAAGTTTGTAGACTTGTTAGTCATATGATCAGTGGTTCCAGAATCTATAATCCAATAATCATGCACATTACCAATGTTGAGAGCAGTTGAGAAGGAGTGTAAGATACCTGAGATGTCCCTTTGTACCACGCCTTCATTTCCAGCCAGGAAGCCAGCAAACTATCCTAGTAGTGCAGTTTGATTGTTGTCACACTGATTTAGTGGTCCTTCACTATCTCCAAGACCTTGTTTCTTGTGAAGAAACATAGCAAACTCGTTGATCAGTGCAGCTGGATTAGTGGTGAACTTCAGTGCTCCATCAGAAGAAGTTGTGGCAACATGATTTGCCTTGTAAGAA